TAAGCAGAATACATCATGTGCCATGATAAGCTCCACAGCAAACAAGCTGTCCAGGCATTTGTGTCCCATTGGAACCCAGAAGCCCTCTGAATTGCAAACACCCCTGCCCATGTTTCAGAGCCGGGGGATGATGGGGCGCAGGCAGGCGGGTGTCTCCACAGACGGCCAAATGCTCTGAATGTAGCAGCGTGATGTCCCCAGTGCCCACCTTCTGACAGCCACCCAGCACGACCGCTTTATGCAACGAGCATTTGTCATTCTGTTTTTGTGTGCTATTCAACATTTTGTGAGAACAACTTCATCCCGGAGCGCCGCTCTCGTGCAGTCACATCCTGCTCTCCCTCCGCTCACCCACAGCTTATGAATTCCTGAAAATAAGGAATTTTAATGGGAGTGCTGATTCAGCCTGAACTTTGCTGTACTAGCACAGAGTGCATTGAAAAGATGAAATAAAAGGACCTTACAAGCTCCAGCTCTGTGTGCCTGATGATTTTCTCTAGGGAACAACCTGGCAAGTTATCTGACAATACTCATCCAGAGAAGCTTTCGGTTTGCCTGTGTGCTGTGCATGCCAATGAGGTCTGGAATAAACAAGCCGCGCAGCAAAGCGGTGTATTGTTTATGCATCGTCACATTCATCTATATATAACAATTGGTCCTAAATTAAAAAAGCAGGTATCAATATTGCCTATGTGCTGGCTCCCGGGGAGAAGCCTGAGGGAAGAAGGCAGAATTTCAGTAATAAGGGGTCTTTTCCTCCAACTGATGTAAACAAACAGCCTGTGCCATTGTAGCAATGTTTATGCCAGCAAATACCCTGAGGTGTTGCACAGAAATCAATCTGTGATAATAAAATCTCAGCAGCTCCCGAGGTCAAGCCCAGGCCTTGCTGTATGTTTGGGGCTGGGGGTGAAGGGTGAGGTAATTAGAAGGGTAAACTCTTTTAATTTGTCAGAGCACGGCTCATGAAACACTATCTTCCAAGCCCTGAATACCATGCCGATTACGGCTTGGTTCGATCAAATTCAAGGACAGGAGAAATTGCAGTATGGAAAGCAAGTAGAATTGGCTGCAAGCTGCATGAATACGTGTTTAGAGAAAACTTCTGCAGAGGAGTCAGCTGGGAGGGGACCACTTCTATGGAAACCAAATGACTTGGCAGGTATTTTTCCACCTCCCTGCGATTGCTTATTCTCATTGCAGCACAGCCAGGCCAGGGCATGGCAAAGAAATGTCATGCCTGGCTCTGTCACCTCAAGGAGCATCATGCCCTGCAGTGACTGTGATATAGAGGACAGAATTATGGTTTCACTGTAAAACCAAGCAGGGTAAAGCCTTGTTTCACTGTAAAGCCAGGCAAGGAGTTGTCTATGATGACTGTAATTTGTGTGGCTATCCTGCACCTCGGCCAGCAGGTCTAAGAGAAGCAAGTAAAGGAGTCAGGTAGCCATAATTTTAACACGCAGGAAAAGCCAAGCTTTGCTCTAGTTCTCCCCTAAAGCTCCCAATGTCCTTGCAGCAGTGACATACTGTTGTTACCCACACAGTCTCCTTTTCTGTTCCTCTGACTTCTGAGCACAGAGGGCTGTGGGCATGCTGGCTCCTGGGTTACAAGACTGGGCTCCCATCACTGTGTAACTCAGTCAAATGAACATCTGCATATTGTCCTCCAGCTGCTCTTTAAGTTTCCTCCCTGACTGAAAAATCACAGCAAAGTCAAACCTCCACTGTGCAGAAAGTTTGGGCAATTTATTAATGGTTATGAATGACCCTGAGATCACACTGAGCTGGAGCTGCTATAGGGTGGCCATACTTCATGATGCTTGCAGTGCCAGAAAGAGCCATGAAAATCCTAAGACTCCATCCCTCAAGTCCAAACACCCCTGAAATACCACAGGGATTTAAATATTGCTCTTACCACTAGCGATGGTCATGAAATTGCCTAAGCAGGTGATCTATATATGGTATAAAGCTCAAGTTAGGTATTCCTGGAGTCTGATGTAACAATGCCCCAAGCCACTCTGTACAACTAGAAAGAGGCTGAGGAGAGCAAAGTGGTATGAAACAGAGCTCAAGAGACTAAGTCTTCTCTGACCAAGAGGTGATGTTGCTTCTGGAGAGCCAGCTTGGATGACAGCTCCAGATTTTGACTGGTCATACAACTCTTCCAACTCAGAAGGTCTCCAGTCACTCACATCCTTATGAGGTTTTTGTTATGACATGATGAAAGGCAAGGCTGGTGCTCTTTCCAGTGGTGTCAGAAGCCCCATGAGAACTCATGGCCACCAGGACCCTCTTATTACCAAACCTGGTCAGAAAAGAGATATATTGGGGAGAAGATGTTGGCTTAAGGAAGTATGATTAAAACTTTCTTTTCAAACTTCAGGCTTGTTTTTTGTACCAATTATGAATGAAGATTGAAGTTGGCTTTTGTTCTATTGATTGAAAAGGGGAATGATATGTGAAACATACTGGAAAGGACGTGAGATTTTTACAGAGCTGCTCAGATAGGATTGATTCATCATCACTGAGATTTTAGAAGTCTAAAGAAAATCCATACAAAAGATAGGGAAGGTTTTTCAGACCTCAGACATCATCAAAAACACTACTGCTTTTTGAACATAAAAACTCCACACACTGCAAGGAGCCTTTGGATTCCAGCATTTTTAGCTGAACTACTCTTACTATAGATTTTAGATCTCCCCTCACAGTATCTGTCCTTCATTTCATCATTCTTTTCACTATAACTTAAGCAAGAAGCAGGAGGCTCACAACCTACAGTCCTGCCACTCACTGCTCTTTGTATCATCTTCTGAGTATATTTATTTAGAAAGAAAGAAAAAGACTTTTGATAGTGAGGAAAATCTAGAAAGCAGACCCCTGCAGTTACACAGTCCTGGACCTTGGGCCAGCTTTGTGCCATGGACTGACCAGATCCTGGCAGTCTATTAGCAATCAGATACAAATCCTAAACAGATCCAGGTCCCAGACAGACCCAGCTTGACATTCAAAAGCCCACAGGCTTACAACTTTATTTTTTCTTAGCTGATTGTCTTTCACTTTTGACCTAGTATATAGATTAATAAAACAGAGGTTTTTCTTTGGGTAGTAGTTTCTCCACCACCCTGTTAGACTGTTGAACCCATGTACACAAGGGATTGGTCCAACAAAACTCACACTGCAGCACTGCAACTGAGTGCAGGCAAAAGCAGACTTTAGTCCCCTCTGCCTGTGGATTTGGTATGGTAGAGCCACACCACAGCTGCCTTTTCCTTTGAGAATGTTTTGCAGCCAGCCAAGTTTTAGGACCAATTTGATTTTCTGCAAGCCTGCTAATCAGCCAGTCTTGCTGCCCTTCCCTGTGCCCTCTGAGGGTATGTGCTAAAACCAGTGCGCTCTGGAGAGCAAAAAAGCAGAAGTGGTTCATAATACGTTTCTGTAGGACTGGATTCACAAATCACAGGGTTTCTCAGCACATCAAAAGCTATTTTTACCTAAAATGGAGCAATTAAACCCAGCTCACATCACAGTGCAATTCCCGGATAGGTGAGATTAGCTGGATGGGTCTTGCCCTGCTATTAGGCTGTAATCTGAAACTGTATATCCAATCTGAGCTGAACAATGACATTTGTGCCTGCAGACATCATTTCTAGTGGTGACTCTGGAGTTTACCTTGGCTGAGATGCTTGGGGTCAGGGCTGGCCACAGGAAGCTGCCATCTAATCCTTCCATACCAATTTCTCAGATGGTTCAACACTGCCACCTCTGAAAATCCCAAAAGTATTTCACTGGCTTTGCTAAGGGGACAGTGATGGCAGATCCCGTTGGCAAACAGGCAGTGCCACAGGCATTTGATCACTATTTTTGATCCTCTCTCTAAGGCATCTCCCCACAGATGAATTCTAACTTTCCTACTGCACACTGCCTTTAAGCTACACCCTCAACATCAATAAAAACGTGTTAACAAATGAGTGTGATGAAGCTAACTAGTCCAGCAAACGCCTGAGAATATGTTGGTTTCCTTAATCTCTAATAATAAAATTAAAACCTAAGAAGAGGGTTTTGTCCTTTCTAGCACATTTAGACTGTATTTCTTCTTCCATTACCTTGGCGAAGATACAAGGCAGATGATATTCAATTCAGGTGATGAGGAGCCAAAACAGGTTTGTTTTTCGGCTGTTGGCAGCCTGGCAATCAATCACTGCAGCCCCATGGGAAGAGCTTTCTTCTTCCTGCATCCCTGGAGAAGTGCCCATGACAGAGCCTCCAGCAGCCTCTGCTCTTTCATTCCCAACCCCACAGCACTGCAGGAGCTTGGGGGTGGCACAGGTGCCTCACAGGCTGCACACACCTGAAAAGGACTCACAGCAATCCCCAAAATCCTCCAGAAGATTAAGGGAGAGGTGGCACCCACTCAGGTCCCAGGGGTGCCGCAAGCCTCCCCATGCCCCAGGGACACCCATCAGCCTGCCCGTGTGCTTGCAGCAGTTGTCAGCCTCCCCCAACAGCTTCAGGCTCTTTCACTCCAGCCCTTATTTGCAATATCTACTAGCTCTGACTATTTAAAGAGATCGGAGATTTACATCAGGAGACTTTAAATATAGAAGTAATTTTGTGTAAACTCTTGCCTTTATTGCAGCAAGGAGAAGGGAGGGAAAAGCCTTTCTTTTTTTAGACTTGGCAGGAAACAAGCAGTTAAATAAGTGAATACTATAAAATGAAAATCTTAAAGTGATTACAAGTATGAAAGGAGTGAATATCAAATTGAAACAGCCATTTAATCAAGACAGAGTACAGAAATCCAGCAAGTGGCCTCTTTCCATGATCCCATAGAGATGCAAAAGGAGGCAGCTTACTGTAGCATTAACAATCTCAGTTGCTTGCTGCTCACTGCTGATACCCCAAAGTCTTCCACCCTTTGCAGCTTTTCACATGCAAAATGCCTTCCTTTATGGATCACCCTTGATGTAAAGCAGCTTTAATTATCCAAGAACTGAAATAAAGATGAAAAAGTAATTGCATTTTAATTGCTTTAATAATGGCTGCACTGACTTAAATACTGAAGGGTAAAGATTAGAATACCTTTATGTTAAGATGCATTTCCTTCAAACACAGCTTCTTTGTATTTTGTGCCAGTCTTCCCTCACCCCATAAACATTCACATCAGTGTATGCCACGTTTATTCCTAAACTCCTGAGGTGGTTTGGTGTGTTAGACAGTGATATCTGTACACTGGGGCTTTTTACCATAAGCAATTTTAAGGTTGAGAGATTTTCCTGTAATGTACCAATACCAGACTTCTCAGCTTGAGATATTTGCTTATACCAGCATCTGAAGACTGGGCAATAACAGCCCTTTGGAGATGGGTGACGGCAGTGGGAGGTTGCAGTGATGATGTTAAATGGTGGGGAAAGTATGCTGTAATGCAGGCAGCTCCCAGAGCCTGACAGAGAGTATGGCTCTGATGGCCCCTGCCACAGGGAACCTCGAGTTGATTTTCCTTGTTACGTGCAGTGGGCACACAAAATCCCCAGGATTTTGGAATGGGAAGGGAGGGCACTGAAGAGGATTTGTTTACTCTTCGCTGTACTTTATGTGCCCGTTATGCTAAAGCGTAGGTGGAAACAAATCCTGCCAGTCAGCTGCAGTGGTGGGAAGAAACCTTGCCAGGCAGCCTTTGGCAAGGAAGCTTCAAAAGCCTGACCTATGCTGCCATAACGGCACTTTGGAAATGAGTGTGACAGTCACTGTTCAATACCGGTGTATCGGCCCTGAATGTCTCAGTTGACGGGCTTTCCTTCCGCACGAGGAAGCTTTCTGCTTTTGTTGTCATCTCTGTCACAACAGGAGCTTTAATTCCTCACACCAGCTTCCCACCGCAAACCAGGGCTCTCTCTTCTGCACACAGTTCCTCCTGTCTCTACAACACCCAGCAGTATCAAGTCAGACAGAATAAGCTCAAGAAAGGTAAAGATGCAAGCAGAATATAGAGTGAGGCTATTGACTTGGCATGCCAGACAAAGGCTGGACTTGACTCCAGATGCGAGCTGAACAATAACAAAAATCTTGTACTTTATCACCTTTTAAAGTACCTGGAGACATGTCCAAACAATTGCTTCCAATGAATGATTTCAGGCAGTCATTAGCCTCATACAGAGAGAATAACACATGTAAATAACAAGCCAGTCTACTGTGAGTAGAAAAAAGTTATCAAAACCATTTTTAAGAAACACTGTAATGCACTGGGGGGGAGCAAACCTCATTCTCTCCCCCTCTCCCACTCCCTCTTGCTATTCCTCTTCTCTCACTGGTTATGACGCTCAGTACGAGTTCAATACTGATGGAGGTTATGCTGCATTTTCATAAGCAGTCCAGAGGGAAGCCTTGAGGTTATAAAGCTGTTATTATTGGAGTAGTTCATTTCTGCTGGAAGAATCATTAATTCAAATTGCAAATCAAAATGGAAGCAAATTCCTCTATTTATTAAGCAACTAATTTCTCATTTAAATTAAAGCAAAAATAAGCCAGATATTGGCTATGCCTCAGCAGACTCCTGCTCTGTGAGCATTAGAAACCACAGCAGGTTGGACAGACCCAGTTCCCACCAGGAGCAAAACAAGAAGTAAGTCACAATATGGTCCCCCCAGGTGCCCAGTAGACCTACGGACCTGATGATGCTGTTACCCTGAGCTGACCCCTCAGTGCAAAACTGACACGTGAGGAACAGCACAAAAGGCTGCTCTGGGGGGAGATGAAGCTTATTGAGAAAAGATTTTGCTATGCTAAAAGCAAGAGTAAAGTAAATATTATAGACATTCTTCAGCCCCGTGTAATGGGAATACCGCCATAGTTAAGGCTGAATTGCAATTTGCATTCAAAAGTAGAAAGAAATTACTATAGTTCATTGCAATGAATGAAATTCATCTAATGAATTAGCATATGTTGCTGTGAGACCATTTCCAGTTTCAGAGGAAGCCAAATTTTGTGCACAAGGCTTTAAAAATATTTTCTGGTTTTTGCAGAAATACTCTCAGATGTTCTTTCTTGAAACATCTCCTCTCTTCCCCCACACCACTGCAGAGTTCTGCCCAGGGAACCCCCAGGTTCCTGGGAAGTTTTGTGCAGCCTTTCAACTTTTGTCCAAGCAAGGAGAAGACCAGTGAAGCCATCTGTGGGTGCATCAACAGGAATGTGTATATCTGCCCTGAGGAAAGGGGATGGTGTGGGGCCAGGTCAGGAGAAGAAGCGGCAGCTATGCAGGGCAAGGTGAAGCCCACCATGAGCAGAGGGGCAGACTACCTCATCCAGAAATGCCACCATGCTTCTCTCCGGAAAGCCTGGTGCCCCTGAAAGCAGTGATGCTTCATATGTAAAGTATCCTGCAATGCTGTTTATCACTGGTGTACCTACAAACTCCTCAGATAGGAGTCAAGCAGCACAGAACTTTGGCAACATGAGATCTTGCGAGCTCTTCCATGCTGCAAGGACCCACTGCTGGTCCCCTCCCTCCTACCCTGCTGCAGCTTCATGCTCTGCGCACTGCAGGGTAATTTTGGGATGCTTGGTAGGGTTTCAGTCTCACATTTAATTGGACACATTAGACTTGAATATAGAACTTAATAGACCAGAAGGAAATAGGGCAGGTGGGGCCAATGGCCACAAGATCTTGAAGCCCAACCCATGCCTATGCTCCTCCATCAAATTTAGCACCTCGACAAGAAAAATCTCTGCCACTGATTCAAAGATGCTGTGAGCACAGGCAAGACTTTCTCCCTCTTCATGCAGCTTAGATCTTCTGGCTGGTCAGATCCTCTCTGCTGGGCTGCAATGATAAAGGTAAAACTCACCTGTGTGCTGCAAGAGCCTCTGAAGTATTTTTTATAACACTCTTAAATGACAAATCATCTGTAGTAATTGCAACGTTTTCAGAGTCACCTCAAAAAAGGGTGCTGCCATGATCCAGCATGACTGCAAAGCTGGACTTGGTCTCACAAAGCCAAGTTTTCTCACAAGGTACTTGTGTTTCCTGCTCCTTCTTCAAATACAGATAAAATAAATACCATATTTTTACCATTAAAAATTCAGCACCTATATTGCTTAAGCTATCAAACCTATTACGAACAAAGTGCTAGCATATTTTAAAGTAATAAACCAAGCACAGTATCTAACAGCGAGGTCATTGCATTGTTCTTGGAAAGTGCAGTAGGAGGATGAAATTGTATTTGTGACAAGGGATATCACTCGATTTGAATATCAGCTCTATTAAACAGAAAATAACAAATGCATCAGCTCTACAGCACCTCTGATAGCACGCTGAGGAAAGTATTTGGTAGGGTCAGTAGGTAAAAACTGAGCACAATAATCCTCCTCATTGCTGTCTTCATGGGGAGCTCCAGAAGTAATATGCATTTACAGGGAAATTTAACAGAGTCTATGGAAATTTATTCTGTGAGAATTTTCCTTTCTTCCATGGTAGTTGTTTGGATTTTCTTTTCAGGTTCAGATTATGAAAATGATTATTCAGAGGGGAAAACAGCACTGCAGAGATGCGACTTTGCAAACAGTAACTTCAGGAGGAGTAAAACGTTATCATCAGAGAACATGGCAATTTGATTTACAAGTGAGCAGACAGGAAAACGTGACAGTAAGAGAATAAAGATCAGCTCTCACAGCATGCAGCACCTGTAGCACTGCCATGGGCTGACAGTGCAGCTACTGCATAGCCTCCTGCTGCACTCACCAGCTTGTGCAGAGTCTCTGCCATTTGCAGAGCACGCAGTGGTCTGTAGAAGGTTAACCACTGCAGATATGAAGCTAGCCTAAATTTGCCCTTAGCTAAAGCTTCCTTGAGGCTATACAAAGCCTATTCTGCTAAAGGATAGTTCAAAGGTCTGTGTGCTTCTCCAATACTTCCTAAATTCATCTTAACCATCTTATGAGAAGTTTATGTGTCTTTCTAGAGCCCTCTTCACCTCAGCAGGCTTCCACTTCTAAGGCAGAGACCCTTCAAAACCCTTTTTCAATCTGAGCCTCTGCTGGTGACCCTACTCTGTAGCTCGCACACCAGCCTAAGGGCATGTCATAGCCAGCCTGCAGACAGCTTTAGGAAAGGGGTAAGGGAGAACACTTTCACAGAAAGCATCATCAGGCTGTCAGTGGCCTCATTAAGCAGAGGGCACCTTGGTCCCCAGATGCACAGGGAGCAGCATGCGGGCCATTAGCAAAACCAGGGCTGCCCAGGACACAGCACAGGCTGCTGTGGGGCTTACAGCAGGATGAGACTCACTGCCCTGGCAAAGGAAGGGGCAGAGAGCAGGCAGGTTAATTAGTTCATACTTTTAATTAATTTACCATTGCTAATAGATGTTACAGATATAGTCCTGGATTCTTGCTTATCTGACAGGGTACATTTACTACATGTCAAACGGCAGGGTATGATTTCCCAACCATTTCTGTCTGCGTGTGCACAGACAGTGTTCCTGTGAGCTGTGTCTAACTGGTAGACAGTATTTTGGTCTCCAAGCCTCATCTCCTTTTCAGACTGACCACTAATTTGGTGTCAGGCAGGCTCCTCTCCGCTGGGCTGCGATGTGTTCTGTGTGTTTGAGTGTGCTGGTTTGTCTCTGGGCACTGCTGGGGTTTCTTGTTATTGCTGGAAACAGTCATGTTTGAGGCTGCCATCTTTTCTTCCGTTCTGCTCTCTTTTACAACGGAGGGAAGGCGCTGTTCTCTGCCTGCCGTGAGACCTGACCTCAGGCAGAGCTGCTGAGGGGGCAGGAGCTGATCCCAAGTCCTGCCACATCCCTTCCCACATCAGACTGCCAGTGCCAGCGCTGCTCCTGCCACAGTCAGACTGCAGCTCTGCTGTTTCTGCCCTCATTGCCATCCTCCCAGAGCACAGGCACTTGCTCAGGTTGGAGCATAAGGGGAGTCTCACTGAGCATAAAGAGATGCACATGGATTTCAAATTAATCCTTTGGACAAATGTCTGCAGGAGAGGGCTTCTGCTCTGCAACCAGCAGAGCCTCAGGAGGCAGGCTCTGAACCCCTCTAAGCTGTCACACCACCCATATGAGTTGTACCACAAAAGAGCAGATTTTTGCCCCAGAAATTAGCAGCTCACCACACTGAGATGTCTGCCACGTTTACCAGCAGCTGAGGCATTGTGATTGCTTACAGGTAAGCCAGTGGCGCCCTGGATCTGTACTTCAGCACTAGGCTCACATCACTGGAAGAGGTTAGGTTAGAAATCCAACATCAAGTGAAGAATGGTATTTCTGTTTCTTCCCTGCTGCATGAGGGAAAACTAGAGGAGAAAGAAGAGGTGAGAGAATCAGACCTGAGTGCTTCCAGCAATAATTAATAGCAAATGTGGGCAGCACACACAGAGGGCTCCACAGCATCCATGCAGAGGAGCATGTTTGAGCCAGAAAGCTAGCCACTGAGACTGTTGAATCAGCAGGGAATATTGATGTGATTAACAATGATTTGATTTGGAAACCAATAGGAAGGAGATTGTTTGCTTGCTTTGTCCAATTTAGTCCATGAAATACTGGCTTCAATACAGGGAGAAATTCAGCACAAGCAGGAAGGGGATTTTGAGGAGGGGTGGAGTGGGGTGTGTTTGTTATTTTATCAGACATCCGTCTGGATTCTAGCTGGTGAAAACTGGAGCATTCAATCAAGTGTTTTATGTGTGTCTATAATAATCCGAACAAAGGAACAGCTGACAGCTCATGATCATTTAAAGATAGAGCAATTTCTATTTAGCAATCTTGTGACTGCATTTTCTGTATGTACGTGCAAGGCTTCCTAATCGTTCTGTGGGTTTTGTTGCAGCTTGGCTGCAAATGAAACACTATGAATTTACAGGAAACCCAGCACAAACACTAAGTCCTTAAGAGGAATATTAAGAAGCCA